TACTGGGGGTGCCTCCCAGTTACCCTACTCAGGGGTCAGAGACCCACTTGAGGAGGCAGTCTGTCCGTTCTCAGAACTCAAACTCCATGCTGGGAGAACCACTACTCTCTTCAAAGCTGTCAGACAGGGATATTTAAATCTGCAGAAGTTTCTGCTGCCTTTTGTTTGGCTATGCTCTGTCCTCAGAGGTGGTCTACAGAGGCAGGCAGGCCCCCTTGAGCTGCGGTGGACTCCACCCCGTTCGAGCTTCCTGGCCGCTTTGTTTACCTACTCAAGCTTCAGCAATGGCGGGCGCCCCTCCCCCAGCCTCGCTGCCGCCTTGCAGTTAGAACTCAGACTGCTGTGCTAGCAATGAGGGAGGCTCCGTGGGCATGGGACCCTCCGAGCCAGGCGCAGGATATAATCTTCTGGTGTGCTGTTTGCTAAGACCCTTGGAAAAGCATAGTATTAGGGTGGGAGTGACCCGATTTTCCAGGTTCTGTGTGTCACAATTTCCCTTGGCTAGGAAAGGGAATTCCCTTACCCCTTGTGCTTCCCGGGTGAGGTGATGCCTCGCCCTGCTTCGGCTCTCGCTCAGTAGGCTGCACCCACTGTCCTGCACCCACTGTCCAACAAGCCCCAGTGAGATGAGCCTGGTACCTCAGTTGGAAATGCAGAAATCACCCACTTTCTGTGTCACTCACATTGGGAGCTATAGCCTGGAGCTGTTCTTATTCAGCCATCTTGGAACCTGATCTTCCCTCCAGTCTTGATTAATTCAAATTAACATATCAATTCAACTTAACAATTATTTATTGATAGTACTTAGTCCCAATAAGTGCAAGTTTGTTAATGGCATTATTATTGCTTAATAATGTGTTTATTTCACTTTAATACAGAAGAATATTTTCTCTGGATATACAATTATATGTTGGCATATTAAAGATATCATCCCATAACATCTAGCCTCCTTCTTACTGAGAATTCAGCCGTCAATCTAATGTTCTTTGGAATGTATTATGTCCTTTGTCCTCTGGTTGCTTTTAACATTTTATGATTTTCTTTGACTTTCTGAAATTTTACTATCATGCTGCATTTTTTGTTCTTCTTGCTTAGGGCTTTTTGGGCTTCTTGAATCTCTGGGCTGATGTTTTCCATCAGTACTGGAAAGTTCTCCACCATAATATTCATATAACTAAATACCATAATATATTGCAAAAAAATAAAGCTTTATACAAAACCATGAATAATTCCTAGAATGCATACTGTATGATTCCATTTACATCAATATTTAAAATAGGTGGCCAGGCATGGTGTCTCATACCTGTAATCCCAGAACTTTGGGAGGCCGAGGTGGGTGGATCACCTGAGGTCAGGAATTTGAGACCAGCCTGGCTTATATGGCGAAACCCTGTCTCTACTAAAATACAAAAATTAGCTGGGTGTGGTGACATGCACCTGTAAACCCAGCTACTGGTGGCATGGGTGGGGGGTGCTGAGGCAGGAGAATTGCTTGAACCCGAGAGGTGGAGGTTGCAGTGAGCCAAGATCGTGCCACTGCATTCCAGCCTGGGCAACAGAGTGAGACTCCATCTCAAATATAAAAAATAATAAAACAGGCAAAAATACAGTGTGGTAAAACTACAACAGAAAACAATGGTTAGAATTCATAAAAGAAAGAATAGTGTTTCCCAGCAGATGAGGAAAAAACAATGTATTTAGAGAGGACCACTTGGGATGGGGAGTTTTCAGTGGTTTGAGCAATATTGAACTTTCTGACCTGGTTTGTAGTTACACAATTTGAATTAAAATAGTTCAAAATATTAATTTAAATCTTATGCCTTTTCTGGTATGTGAATTATATTTCACCAATATGAAAGTCCCACACCTATGCACATGTACACACACACAGAGGAAATAACAAGGGAGAAACTGCTTAGGCAAACTGGCCACAGATAGCCTCTCTAAACATAGAAAGAGCATTTTTATTGTCTCAGAAAGACACTTTGCAAGTATGTAGTAAGCTCACCAATACTGGCAGCTACATGCCTCCTTGAGTGCACTGGCATTTTGAGAGGAAGTCTCTGGGAGTGGCCTTCACGTACTTGTGAATTTACCATGCAAAGTAGGGGAGGAGTCCCTAATTTCTCCTTAGCTGAGGTCACCTTTAAAAAGAATTCTCAGGGGGATAGCTAGGTTTGTTGGTACAAAATATTAAAATCCAGGACTTTTATGTAATCTGCAAGCTACAATAGGAACGATAAATAAATTATTGGTTACTTCTTCACTCTTGAATCCCAGACCTGCCTCCCTGGTCACTTTAATGTCCAGGATATCTTCTCCAACCCTCAGTACAATAGAAAGAAATTATCTGGGGAACTGTCAACATATTGAGAGATTCTGAGATTCACAGAAATTCTTAAGAGATGGAAAGTTTCATGGTAGCAAAGAACGTAGACAGAAAGGCTCCCCAGAGCCATAATGGCTCCTAGAAACTCTTTCTTGGATCTGCCCATATTGTCTGAATATTTCCTCCATCTTTCATGTCCCTCAAGAGGATAGAATGACTCTGATTTCATCTAGTTTAAGTCACCCAGAGCTATGCTGTTCACTTGCCTGAGGGAAAAGAACAGGCTATTCTGATCTGACCATTCCTTCAAAGCCTGACAGAGAAGAACTGGCCCCTCTCTGCACACTACTAGTGTAAGTCCTGTGGTATTAGGAAAACTCCAGGAGCCTGGCCACTGGTGCTGCAGTGGAACCATAACTGTGGTTCATCTGGTTTACCCTCCTCATATGTAAGGTCTGCCTAAGCTGAGATGTCTTTCCTCAAATCCTGGTATTCATCACTAGCCCAGTTAATATATTCCAAATGATTATTATGTAAAAATATCTCAGTTACCAGTGAAACTCAGGATGTGTTGCTGTATCCCCCTGTGAAGTGTAGATTTATTTCTTTCAAAATTAGTAACTGATTGGAAGGTGAATTTCCATTCAAAAATCATCATTTTTTTTAATTTGCAGGATAACATTGGAGATGCAAACTAAAAGTTCTCAGCCATAATCTAAACATCTTCTAATCGCACACAGAGACGTAACTAAGTACCCCATCACTCTCAGAGTTGCCAGGACTTACTCTTCTGGACTAATTGAGTCTCCCGAACTCTGTGCTAGAGAGGAGGGATCGTGAATAAAGGGCTTTACAAAGTTCCATAGGGTTCAAAACAATAAGGCAAAAGGGATTCCTGAATACTTTTTGGCCACAGGTCTGGAATTTATGACATAAGAAGAATTTGGTGGTGGGGACTCCCTTAAGGCAAAAAGTAAAAGGACTAGTGTCACAAAGAAGCAGAGTGAGACTCGGTAAGAAAATCAGGTATTAGGGCCAGGAGGCTAGGGAGTATTCATACATTTGAGGAGATGTTAGGGGTAAGTCGATAAAGGAGTTCAAATATAAGCAAGGAATACAGGTGGATCAGTACAAATCATTGGCTGGGAGGAGGAGATTTCTGCTGTAGGGGAAGTGGTATAATAACATTATAGAGGGGTAATTAGGTAAGGAGACGTTTCTGACAGGGCGGAAGAACAGAACATTTCCTCCTTTCTTATGGGTGCCATTAGGCAAATAATTATGGGGTTCCTAGAAGGAAAGGAGAGGAAATTTCAAAAGGCAAGAGAAAGGAATGTAAAGATGCAAGGGAAGATGCTAAAGTTCAGGGAAATGAGAGCAAGGAAAGGAAGACTTCTGTCCATGAATACGCAGAACACAAAAATCGATGCTGTCGTGTGTGTGTGTGTGTGTGTGTACTCATGTGCATATGTGTGCACAAGTGTGTATGTAGTACATTAATACTTCATGGTGTTATTTTAAAACTTCATCAGCGTCGTCAGTGCCAGGTCAGGAGTTAGTATATAAGTCTCTTCCTCTGTGCATGGAAATGCCAGTTTGATCTTTTGACGTGTGATAATAACCTCCAAAATATCATGGATGCAAAAGTCTTTTATACATTACTCTTGCTGTCCCCAACCACTTCAGCCAACATCTTGCTTAGACCACCATCCCACTTGGCTGTAGACCTGCATTGTGCCCTGCTGCAACCTGCTTCCTTCCAGTTGCTACTCTTCTTCTCATATAGAGAAGATGCTCCTAGCAATATATGCTGTGCCCTAAGCATGGGCAGAGACTCTTCTGTCGGTTCTCTACAATGACAATGAAGACTAAGCTGCAACATTCATTACAATGCACTGAATGCATAGCAACAACTGAAGGAAATGAACAGAAAACTTAGAATGAGATACTAGATATGGCTCCTCTTAGAATCCATGGGTTCAATCCCCTGGCCTGCCATCGAGTGAGAAGGACCAGCTTACCTTTCTCCAGATGAAGTAGTCTTAAATCTCTCTCTCCCAACTAAAGTCTAAGTCGCAGCCAGGAGGAAGCCCCAAGAAAGGAAAACAGTTTCCTCCTCGCTTTCATTTTCTACCCTAGGGTCTGCTTCTTTCCAGGATGATTGACAGTGAGAAACTTTACTCTCCTCATGGGAACCCTCTGTATGCCTCTGAGCCTAACCTTTCTCTATATTCCTAGAGGTATGTATTTCTAAGTCTGTGTTCAGCCTTCTTTTTGCCTTTCTGCATTCCAATGATTTATACTTATATATTCTCTCAGCTTTAATCAATGTCTTGATGTAGATGACTCTCAATTCTACCCATCCAGCCCAGTTGTTATCTTTGCATTCTTTTACAGTATGGTATAGTGAAAAGACCATAGAACCTGGCATCAAAAATCCTGAGTGGTAGAACTGGAATAAATCAGATGCAGGATTGACCTAGCCATTCCCTCTCCCACCAAGTTGCAAGGGAGAGAAATTACAGAGACATTGATTTCCCTAGGAGCAGCGTATGCCTTCCAAGAGCTTCCACAACGTCCCCACCCCTAACCTTTCGCAGGAAAGCCCAACTTTGCAGGGGTATAAATAGGCACTCTTGAATCTTCCTGCTATAGCCTGGCCCTCCCTCTTTCCAAAATGGACAAGTCCCTCTTGCTGGAGCTCCCCATCCTGCTCTGCTGCTTTAGGGGTGAGTCCCTAGGGTTGACAGCTGGTAAGAACCCTGAATTTAGGAACAGGTGAGAGCACTCATGGCAGAGGCCTTCTCATGGAAGTCCTATCGTAACAGAAACATGATGAGCTTCTGCTCTAATGTTATGCCTTCTACCCGGGGTATGTCATATCCCCAGGACCTTAACTAAAGCTCTTCTCCCTTCCTTTATGGGGGGAAAGAGGCAGATTAGAGAGGAATCGAGTGGATTTCACAGAAGCTTTGAGATGGGGTTTGGAAAATGAAGTCTGCAGACAGTGTATCTTTTTTTTTTTCAACAGCAGTATCTGGATCATTTTTAAAGAGAAAATTTGCAGGTGAGTTCAAATAGATAAGTGGTATGAGAAGGGGCAGGTCTGAGGAGGAAAAGATGGGTGGGGTGAGGTGAGCACCAGGAGCTAAAAAAAAAAAAAAAAAAAAAGAAATAGACCTTGAGTTCCAACACTCAACAACCTCTTCCAGCAGGACAGAGCTGGGATGGGAGCTGATTTTAGATTTGACAAAATAACATTAGCATCAACGGACAAGGTCAGGAGTGAGTGTCAGTGAAGGGCAAGGAAAAGGGAAAGGAGGAAGTGGAATGTTGGCTTTTCACGTGTTGCTTGGCCAAATCTAAAGCATGACAACTTCAGGAATTTCAGGTTGTCCCCATTGTCAGATTCCAGGCACCCACAGGTAAGAGTCAATTAAGACTCTTACCTTAACTGTGCCACACAGAGTCAATTCAAAAGAAGGAATGAAGCAAAAAAGCATGTGCACTTATCTTTCTCCTTCTGGTCTGTGCTGCATCCTATAGGAATGGTTAGATGAATCTGAGAAGCCTCGAAGAGGTGAAGAGATTTAGAAGGAGAGAAGAGGTGCAGAGATGCGCAGTAGGTGACTAGTCATTAGGGGGACAGAGGTCCTGGAATGGCTCCAATTTAAGAGTACAGGATGGACCCCGAAGGGCAGATTATAACAACCCAGTACAAGAGTAAATCTCAGGCACATTTCAGATGTGTTTTCTTTCTCTTTGCCAGTACAGACAATGAAATAGCTACTGTGGAATATGAATTTCCTCGTAAGTATGAAGAGGACCTGTTGATCATCTCAGTCTTGATACTGTTTCACTTTTCCTTGTTCCTCCACCTTTCTTTCCCCTCCCATTTTTCAGGCTAACATTCCTGAGACCATAAACCTCAGTCACTCTCGTGGCTTAGCATATTTCCGCAGAGGAAGATGTTCACGCTTGATGGGCTCTGGCAAAGTCCTCTGGCTCCAGGCAGACTTCTAACCCAAAAAGGGAGAGGGGTTCTTTTGTGGTAGTGCCATTGTTTCTCAATCTCTCTCCCCACTCTCCGGCCAAGTGACAGAAATTGTTCAGTGTAGGATGTGCCACCTCCAGTTCCCGGGAGAAAACTGCTCCAGAGGAAGAGGAATATGCACAGCAGGAACAGAAGAGGCCTGCATGGTTGGAAGGATTTCCAAAAGTAAGTTGTGGGTTGGGGAAAAGAAGAATGGGTAGAGGAAGTAGACAGGGACATATCAGCCACGGGGGAAAGGGGAGACCTTACTTTACTTTTACTATAGGCAGTCTCACATCTGGGATGGCTGATTCCTTCATCCGCATCATATACTGTAATGAAAATTAGATGGAAGTGGTCACTAAGGAGGGTGGGGGCCTACAGCTAAGGAATTAGTATTTTGAGAAGCCTGAAGAAAACAGAGGAGAATAAATCGAGGTGAGAGAATAGGTGTAATCTAGTCCAATGGGTAACAGTGAGTTGTTGAGAGGAGGGGGCTTTTGGTCCTTGTGCCTCTTGTGCCTGTCTGGGTTTCCTTACAGTTGGTTCTAAACTGTGGAAATAGAAGCGCCAGCGTCATCAGTAGACTGTGGCTGAATTGCCCTGGATGGTTAAGACAAGACATCATGATTTCTCTTTTTCCACCCTTTGTGCTAAATTGTCTCTTGGCATTTATAACCCTCACTTAAATCAGTGTTAAGATTCTCAAGAGAAACACCCAGCTTTGGCATTCCCTGAATTACTGTTCTCCTTACTGCCCTACCCCCAGTAATCATTTTAGACTGCTCCATCGCTGCATTTCTTTTGGGAAGCCCCCAACTTGCAACATCTTCCAGTTCTTTACATTTGAATAACGGAGCTTTGAACTACACAAGATTCTCCCTATATGTTGGTGTGGTCTGGAGAAAAGTTTTTTTGCAGAAGTTTCATGGCCAGGCTTTCTGATCTGTTTTTAATCCCTTCCACAGGGGACGGTAGTCCCTGGTTAACCTTCAAGGACTGCCTGAAGAACTGTGCTGACGTGAAAGGCATAAAGTGGAGTGTCTATTTTGTGAGCTTCAGCTGCTGCAGGAGCCACGACCTGTGCAATGAAGACCTTTAGAAGTTAATGCTTCTTCTGTGACTCCAATTTCTGGGTGAGGTTGTTGCCTCAGCCTCTTCACAATGACTTTCATTAAAAAAATCCCTCTCACACACACACACGCACACTACAGAAGAGGATTGCAAAGACATGGCTCCATCTTCTGCACATGAAAAGAAAGTCCCTCTCCTTTTCTAGTCTCTGTCTCATCCCTTAAAATAAGAAAATAAATAACCTTGAGAGCAAGAACAAGATCAATATATCCTGCAGGTTGCCATAAGCCCTTGCGCTTTCACTGTATAGCCCGTTTGTTCAGAAAAGAGGGAAAAGGATAGTTTAATTTCAAAAAAGAATCCCTTCCTCTTTCCTCTGCTGCTTTCCTTCCTTCTGTGGCAGGGTATTTTAATATTTTTCACATTTTTTTCTCTCTGTGTTATCTTGCTTATCCCACTCCAAAGAAAGCACATAACTGTGGTCTGAAGGGATGGGGAGTAGCAACATAAAAAGAAGTGGCTCAAGTCTTCTTGGAGTTTGTTCATGAATGTTAATCCCAGGGTGAGGAGAAGATTGGGACATAGAAAGGAAGCTGCACCAGAACCATGAACAGAGAAAGATTGTCTGCCTTCTAGAATCAGATCTGTTTGGGACTAGTGGTTGGAGAATAAAAGCAGGAGAAGTCTATGAGATTCTAGAGATAGTACCTGCATCCAGCTTCCCTGTCAAACTCACAAGGAGGCATCAACCACTAGACAGGGAACAACTGCAGGATACTTCCAGGGGACAGAACCACCAGCAGGAACACAAATATTCCCATGCCTAGAGCATGGCATGGAGGAAGCTGAGAACTGTGCGGTCTGAGGAAGCCATTTGAGTCTGGCCACTAGACATCTCATCAGCCACTTGTGTGAACAGATGCCCCATGACCCCAGATGCCTCTCCCACCCTTACCTCCATCTCACACACACTTGAGCTTTCCACTCTGTATAATTCTAACACCCTGAGAGAAATGGCAGTTTGACCGAACATGTTCACAAGGGTAGAGGCTGATTTCTAATGAAACTTGTGGAATGAAGCCCAGAAAGAGTGATGAATTATATTATATTATATAAAAATAATAATAAAAATATAAAGAAAGCTACCTTTCTTCTATACCCAAATTGCGTATCCTTCTTTCTCTCTCCTCCAACCTCTTCCTAATTCCTTTAACAAACATATGTTCAAAGCCTACTATGTTCCAGGTACTGCTAGACCCTAGTATGTATACAGCATCATAATCCCTATCCTCATGGAGCTTAAACTAATGGGAAAGACAGATCTTAAGTAAATAATAATAATAGCTTCCACTTGTATGACAATTACTATATGAGAGGCATTGCTATAAACACTTTTTATCTTCTGACTCAGTTACTCTTCACACAAATCTGAAAGTCATACTACTCTCCATGTGGGTCAGTCAGAAACCAAAAACAGCACCAGTTATTTTTTACAGAGGCTTTAAAATTAAGAGTGGTTAACCAGGTATTAAAGGGCACAAAAAGCCAAAAGGAGATATTGAGTTAACAAAGACAGAAACTGCAAGAAACACCTAAAACCTGTAGGTCTAGGGAAACACAAGGAAAATGTTGGACGTCCATACTTCTAAGGTCTAAGGTAATTAAGGTAATTAGACTAATTAGACCTTAGAAGTGTGGGGAAAGGAAGTGCAGCTGGAGGATCTCTTGAGCCCAGGAATTCAAGGCTGCAGTGAGTTATGATTGTACCGTGGCACTCCAGCCTGGGTGACGAAGGAGGATCCCATCTCTAAAATTAATTAATTAATTAATTAAAAAGTGTGAGGGAGGGATCCCTTGGAACTGGAGCCCAAACATCTCAGGAACAAAGGACCTCCGTGAAAATAAAATGCATACCTTTAGGGAAGGGGAACTGTTCAGATGGTGCTGGTATCTCTGGGGCACCAGGAAGCTGGTTCTGAAAGTGTGGGGGGAAAACCATGGAACAAAACCAACTGTAACTCTGAAGCCAACTGCCACTGCCCAGGTAAAAAGCTGTTGAGAGGAAGAGGAAACAGGAAAAGATGCATCCCTTGTCCAGCTTGCCAGTCTCCCTCCAGCACCCCCTACTGGCAGAATTTAACAAGGATCTAGCTTGCAAAAACCACCATCATAAAGCAGAATATAGAAATGTGAAATTAAAACTGAGAGACAATCATTTAATACCAGTTCAATCACGCCTTTGACCTTTCAACATCTGTGCATACCTTTTTATGTGTTTGGACTCCATTAAACAAGAAAGGCAACTTCTTGCTTTTGCCTAAAGAGATGCATTATCCATACTTGTATGGATACAAGTAAAGATACTCTTATTTTTTCTCTAAATAAGGACACAAGAGTCCTAAAGTCATCTCTATCTCAGAGTGATATCCTTGATATTCATTTCCATGCAATATTAAATACTCTTGAAATTCAATCAATTCCACCTGTCAACTACCGTCAATAATTTTATGTAAAATAACAAAGAGATAGAGGAAAACAAGAAGAAAATATGACAAGAAAGGAAAAAGATACGCCTAGGTACCCAGTGTTTGTTTGTTTTTTTAACTGCTAATGAGGCTGCAAGCAATATTTATAACTTCCTTCTTCTGCTACCAATTCTATATTTTGTTTTCCACTACTAGAACCTCACTGGGTCAGCATTATCTTTCTGGTGGGATGATGAAAATGTTCATTCTTGAAAGGTTCACATTTTCAATGGCCTGGATTTGTTTTTTCAGTTTCAGAGCTTTATATTTACTGTAATTGGACAGGAAGAATAAAGTAGCACTTCAGAGAATTTCCTGTATTCCAGACACATTCATCTCTACCTCATTGTGCAACAGCCAAGCAATTCCCTTTTAATAATGGGGATCAGTTTTCTCAGCCTGTAGAATAACCTCTATGCTTATATTGTGGCATGGAGGCATCAGGATCCCAAAATGGTCTTAGCATTCAAATCAACTAAAGTATTGTTATGTTCCGTAGTGGAAGCATTTCTCCCTTAGTAACTAAGACTTCCAAATGAACAAAAATCAGTTGCAGGAATGGGAGAATTTATTCCCACTTCTACATCTTGATTCTTGGACTTGTGTACTCGGACTATGGGAAAAGCAGAATTGTACGTTAGTTGCTGGTTCTGAGCATATATTGCATTCTAAGATATAATCTAATCTTTTCAGAGTGTTTGTCCCCAACTTATAGTTAAATTGAGATTTCATCTGACCATTCATTCCATTATTCCATCAGGCTGGTTGCTTCTGATGATGGGGTGCATGGTAAGATAAATGATTTCCATGGGCATGAACATATTGCTCTACTTCTTTGTGGTGAAATAAGTTTCTTGGGTGGAAATAATTCTGTGTTTAAAACACGTTGATGGAGAATAAAACATTCCCTAAGTCCACAGTTAATGATGGTGGCAGAAGCATTATTAACAGGAACATCCATATCCACAAATATCTGTTTATTCCAGTGAGAATAAATTCTAACCATGACAGAAGTCAAGCTGTTAGCAACTAGCCATGAATTAATGTAGACCCGTCCAGATGAAATGGATGAGACACACCCTTGATTGTGGTTTAATGCTTAGGGAGTCCACTTCCCAGTTGTTGCCAGAATACCCATTTGTAAATGCCAGTTTCTCCTGTCTCAAATCAGTTCATTATTAAACAGAAGACTAAGAGGCCACAGGTGTGCAATAGAAGAGAGAAGGCAATGGAGCAGAACTACCTGCTCATGCAATTAACTTGTGCCATCCTGGCTGGCTTGAACCTGTTCTCTTGTTACCTTCTCCTTAGTGGCAGACTGCTATCTAACACGCCCAATCTATGGCTTCATGACCCAGAAAACCCAGTTCATGATGGGCAGCTCAGGTATCATGATTACTTGATGACCCATTGTTAGAGAAACTGATTAGAGAAGATTAAACTACTTGCCAAAGTCATATAAATAGAGAATGACAGAGGCAAGAGTCAAACTTAGGCTGCTTGTCTCAAGTCTTTACTCTTAATGATTACGCACAAATAACTAAGAAATAACTATAACAGGTGTAGGAAAAAATACAGGGTGATAAAAACAGAAGACAATGCTAACTGGGGTCTTAGGAAAGCTCTTTCTAAAGTTACGTTCAAGCTTAGAACCGTGGGCTAACCTATTAGGTCAGGGCAAGAGGGAGACGGTCGGGGGCAACCATGTACCAAAAGCACCTTCCTTCCAGGTAAAGGGAACAGGAGGTGCAAACCATCTGAGGAAAGAAGTTCCCTGCATGACCCCTTCCTCTGAGTGTTGTTTCTTTTTTCTCGTGAATTCAATGATTCTCTTTAGCCCTTTAGAAATCATCGTGGCCCATGTGTTTTTTGTTTTGTTTTGTTTTGTTTTGTTTTGTTTCAAGGTACATCTGCCTTAGGTTTAAGATTCAGCTTTCTATTTTGGAGGATAGTAAACTCTCTCCTCATACACAGACTTATGAGATTATAAGAACAGAAGACAGGCTGGGTGCAGTGGCTCACGACTGTAATCCCAGCACTTTGGGAGGCCGAGGCAGGCAGATCACCTGAGGTCAGGAGATCGAGACCAGCCTAGCCAGCATGGTGAAACCCCATCTCTACCGAAAATACAAAAATTAGCTGGGCATGGTGGCACGTGCTTGTAGTCCCAGCTACTCAGGAGCCTGAGGCAGGAGAATTGCTTGAACACAGGAGGCGGAGGTTGCAGTGAGCCGAGATCACGCCACTGCACTCCAGCCCGGGCAACAGAGCAAAACTCTGTCTTGAAAAAACAAAAAAACAGAAGGCAGGGTATTTGGCCCCCAAGAGATGAAGATATAGCATGATCTCTGTCTCTCTCTTCTAAAGTCAGTCCTAGATAAGCTCTGAAACTGGGTTTCTATAAATCAACAAAACCATGAGAAGTTTGAGAAGTTCTGGCTGGAGGTGTTCAGTCGTCTGAAGCAGTGTGTTTGTGCCAGGGTGGGTCCGCGGGTGGTGGTACTGTTGGCCATAACCTCAGCGTATTAGAGAGCTGTCTAAATTCTGTGCTCACTTATCTTCTACATCTCTGTGGGACTATATCACCTGTTACTTCAACACAGAAATTGGCATGGCCCAGACTATATTTTTGGGGCAACAGTGCAGGGAATATTGTCAGGTCAGAAGTTATGAGTCTGTTCATTTCAAAGCCCCAGGAGTTGTACATTACAATTTAGTAAAACTGCCTCATTCCAATGCTACTTCCCTTTAAGGGTTTAATGGTAAATCTCGAATAAAACAGTTGTTTGGTAATACGTATGCAAACGGGAGTTACTGACTATTTCATAGTCCCTGGAAACCACCTCTTTAGGGCTAATTCCTTCCCCACTCTTTGAACTCACCAAGACTATTGGACTAGGATCTGGCCTTTCTAAAATCCATTTTCAGGTGGAGATTTTGATAACCCTGGAGGAATAGAAATCCACAGACAAAAAAAATTATAAACTGAAGAGTACAATTATGCTTTAAAAAGCCACTAAATTAGTGTACTAAACAGGATGTACTATCTGAAGCCAAATTATTAGAAGTAGGAATTCAAAACAAGAATGAAAATATATTTACAGATAATTAAAAGTATAAGTTGAAACAAAAATCATCAAAAAGAGATAGGTAGGAATATTTGATATAATCAATAAAATAAAGAACAAAATAGATGGAATATTAAAATAGATCTTAAAAGATGAACGGAGATAGGCAGTTGGAAGATTAGAATGAGAATATCTTTCAGAATACAGTAAGAAAGAAGAGGACTTAGATGGGTGATTTTTTATTATTGATTCAATTTCCTCACTCATTGGTTTATTCATATTTTCTATTTCCTCATGATTCAATTCTAGGAGGTTGTATTTTTTCTGAAAATTATTCATTTCCTCTGAATTATCCAATATGCTAGAGTATAACTGTTTATAGCAGACTCTTACTAACCTTTGTTAGTATCAGTTGTAATGTCTCCTCTTTCATTTCTAATTTTATTTCTTGATTTTTCTCCTCTTTTTCTTATTCTAGCCAAAGATTTGTTGATTTTTTTGTCTTTAAAACAAACTCAGTTTTATTGATTTTTTTCTATGTCTTTTCTTGTC